CCAAGGCACTTTACCCAGGGGGACAGCTTTGAGGCTCTGTCTCAAAAAAAAAAAAAAAGAAACAAAAAAAGAAACCGGGCGGCGCCTGTGACTCAAGGAGTAGGGCGCGGCCCCCATATACCGGGGTGGCGGGTTCAAACCCGGCCCCAGCCAAAAACTGCAAAAAAAAAAAAAACCTCAAGGAACCTTCTGCTCCCATCCCCTGTCCCTGTGTTGTAACACCTTAAGCTGTCTTCTGGTATCGACGGCATTTTACGGGCACTTTCGAGACCGAAGCTTCTCTCCTGACATTACAAACGTAACCCCGGCCGCTGCCGTGCCCCGTCTGCTAGAAACAGAATTTAAAATGCGTTCGCAGTCCACGAGAGGGGGGCGAGCTACCACAACAAAAAAGAAGTGCCCAAGCGCGCAAGGACTGGACTCAGACCAAGGAGCTGGAAGCAGCGTGGGCGGAAGCAAGGGCCTGCGGTGCCCGCTCGTATATGCTTTGAGCCCGCACTCTGCGGACACCACCCACCCGGGAACCGGAGCAGCTCGGCGCGGCGCCCCGCCGAGCACAGCGCGGACACCAGCCTGCGGGCCTGGGTGCTCTTCCCGGCGCGGTCCACGCCCTCCAGCACGATTAGCGCCCCGCGCTGAGCCGCCATTGCCGCCCGCCCTGCCGCGCCGCCGCGCACCGTTCCCATTGGCCAGTGTCAGCGGCGCGCGCCCGAGGGGTGGTATTTCCAGGCGCTGGTCAGATTGGCTGGAGTATGCCGGGGGTGGAGCCGACGCCTGCGAGAGCATCGAGAACCGCACCGCCTCCCGGGAGGTGTCCGGGGTTTCCGTTGCGGAGGTCTGCGCCACGTGATGAGCTCAAGCCTCCGTCATCGGGCGCGCGCATGGTCGTTAGCTCTGGCGGTGTGGGGACTGCGGGCCGGCCTTTCGAGTCGGGATTCTCGGCGCGGACTTGGGGGCCGCAGATCTCAGGGGACACTCCGGGCGGGGCGCACAGGCTGAGGCTGTCCTTCCAGCGCAGGATCTGAGCCATGGGCTTATCCAGGCTGTGGGTGGGCCCCCCACCCCGTGTTCTCAATCCCACGTTCTCATACAGAGCAGTGTGAGGATAGGGACTGTCTACACTTTGGCTACACGGCAATTCTAGAAAAACACACCTCAGTAAGTCTTCGCTATTGCCTTGAAGGACATAGCTGCAAAACTTAATTGCGTTGTAAAAGGATGGCGTATCCATATTATCTGGAGGAAGGAGAAGAAGCAAATTGTTTCCTCTACCTGTGCCTCCGGCTCCTCAGTGAAATATGAGCAATGGACTCCGCTCCTGGAGCTCGGCCGCGACCTGCACCGGAGCTGGCGAGTTCGAACTTGGCTGGGACCTGCCAAACAACAATGACAGCTACAAAAAATAGCCAGGCACTGTGGCGGGCACATGTAGTCCCAGGTACTCGGGGGTCTGAGATAAAAGAATTGCTTGAACCCAAGAGTTTGAGGTTGCTGTGAGCTGTTTGTTTGTTTTGAGACAGAGCCTCAAGCTGTCGCCCCTGGGTAGAGTAATGTGGCATCACAGCTCACAGCAACCTCTAACTCATGGGCTCAAGCGAGTCTCCTGCCTCCACCTCCCAAGTAGCCGGGATTACAGGCGCCTGCCACAACACCTGGCTATTTTTTGGTTGCAGCCGTCACTGTTCTTTGGCGGGACCAGGCTGGATTTGAACCTGCCAGCTCAGCTGTATGTGGCTTGCGCCGTTTGAGCCACAGGCCCCCAAGCCGGTTGCTGTGAGCTTTGAAGCTAGGGCACTCGACAAAGTGAGACTCTGTCTCAAAAAAAAAAAAAAAAAGAAAGAAAAGCCACGGTGCCTGTAGCTCAGCGGCTAGGGCGCCAGCCACATACACAGGAGCTGGGGGTCAAACCCAGCCCTGGCCTGCCAAACAGCAGTGACAACTAAAACAAAAAAATAGCCAAGCCTTATGGCGGCACCCGTAGTCCCAGCTAATTGGGAGGCTGAGGCAAGAGAATCGCTTAAACCCAGGAGTTTGAGGTTGCCGTGAGCTGTGATGCCACATCCCTTTACCGAGGG